TTTTCGAAACCTTTGTTGGTACCCGTTTTTATCAACTTGGGGTGGAGGTTACGTTGCCCATGCCATTGTGATGAGATGGGATCTCTCTCTCTCCCAACATTTTTCTCTCTCTTACAACCTTGCCCCTAACTCTCTCTCAATATTTTCTCTATCTTACAACATGCCCCCCCCTCACTCTCCCAACATTATTCTCTGTCGGGTGCAGTTTGCATACGGATGCATATGAAGATGTAGAGGTAAGGTGCACCTTAAAATTTTATCATGGTATATAATTTTGATTTTGATGTAAAATGTTCTTAGGACTATCTCAAAATCTATTTTTATATCAAATTATAAAATTTTAAATTTTAAAAATGGTTAAAATCAAGTAGATCTATAAACATATGAAAATCTTGAAAATGAAGGGTGTAGATAATATATTATAAAATGCACTATTTTTGGGACTTAAAATCTTTTTATTATCATAGTCATACATCTTGATGTCGAGATGATCCATAAAAAGGTTTTTACCTTTTCCGATGGATTTTTGAGGGGCATCTGCAGTTTTACATTATAAGATAGCATCCTTATATAAACTTTTTCCTTCTCTATCTTACAACATTCCCTCTCTATATGGCCTTTTAAATGTTGTATTCTAGACAGCTACACTCTATCTATTGGAGTTAGGGGTGGTAATCCGGACCCAGACCCAATCGAATCTGATCTAAAAATTAAAATATCTGCATATTTAATTATATTTATTATATTTTAAGACGCAACAAATATTACTGGACCCAACCAGACCCGATCGCACCCAAACCTAGACCTAGACCCGAATAATGTTTGGGGTACAAGATTTGGACATGGAGCCAAACCCGACCTACTGGGTCCAATTTTGTGACCCATACCAGGACCCTGATCAGATCTACCCTTCGGATCCCAGGTCAGGTCCAGGTCCATAGCTACCCCTAATTGGACTAATTGGCCACTACTTATTAACATTTATTATATAGCAAGTACAAGTCAACGCTTTTGTATCGTTGGTAACCCTAATCCGAACTTGGAAATGTCTCTCTGTAAGCTTTATCCATGACTCACACAATTTATAAAGAACCAAAAAGAGACATAATGTTTCGTTGTAAGCTGCAATAAATTGAAATATTGCATTGCATGTTTCGTTGCCAGCCAAAATGTTTCGTTGTAAGCTGCAAACTCTTTCATTTATAAAAGGGGCTCACCAGAGGTTTCTCACATCACACCAGCCCTTAGTCCAAAGTAAACCTTAAAGGTATTCATTTTCAAGAGAATTTCACCCTAAGCTTCCCACACTAACTCAAGCTCTATACAAGAAATTTCAAGGGAGAGCAATATGCAATCCCATATAATTATCTTGTGCTTGTGGTTAGTGGTGAGTCCCTTAGGGAGAGGGGATGCAGCACCAGACTATGGACTGGCCTTAAGCAAGGCCATCGTCTACTATGAGGCTCAAAGATCAGGCAAATTACCCCCATCCCAAAGGGCTCAGTGGCGATCCGACTCGGCACTCGCCGACGGAAAGTTGAGTGGGGTAAGTCTCGTGTATGTTCGATACATCGATCTGTTTTTATGACCACAATTGTGTATGTGCATTAAACAAACTTATTGGATCGTTGCTTTCACGAGATTGTACAAGTCTACCTATATTTTCCTTTTTTGAAAAATTAAAGTACAATAGCTTTTTTGTAAAGAATAAATGAGAATTGTCTATAAATAGATCATTTATCTTTTGTACAAAGATGTCACGATTATTCTCACTCATTGGATGTCAAATTGGATGACTTAGAGTGAGTCACGAAATTTGAGAATATTTTTTTGGAACTTTGTGTCAATCAAATGACACTCTTACAACCACATATTTTGACATTTAATGGACAAGGGTAATTGTGACCTCATTGTATAAAAGATAAATGGTATCTTTGTAGACGGGAGGGCTTTTTATGTTACCTCACCCACATATATAGTATATGTGACCCTGGTCTCAGCCATGAGTAGATGGTTACGATGGCTTAAAGAGTCACAATGTCACAAGCTAGTATGTTGATCAGATGGCTCATAGTATTTATTTTATTCTACAAATAATTTTGAAAAAAAAAATTGAAGCATGCATAGTCCTAACAGGGGTGCACATGATAAAAATACTTTAAAAAAAAATTTCCCATGATAAAACTCACCAGAATACCTTTAGAAAATTATAAGGGCATTTTGGTCATTTAGTTTTATATAAAATATTTTTTTAATTTTTTCCAGGTTCAGCCTAAATTTTTAATAGGATGCCCAAAATTTCATCAAAAAATGTTTTGTAGAAAAAAAAAATGAAAAATAAAACAGTGTTTGACGTAACATTGTGGTATGAATAATTGTAGCCGTCTGAATTAGGTCGAACAACTAAGAAGTACGGTCTCATATAACTTATATGTTGTTGGTATCTCATAGAGACATTTTCCCTTTGTAGACAATCCCTGTAAATATATTGTACCCTTGATGGAGTAGTCGATATCAGTTGCACAACAGTTATAAACTAGGGTCACACAACAGTGTAATGTGACAACTAGGGAATTAC